GGTATGTTAGAGGATTGTATAGCCTCTGTGCAACCTTGGCACTGCTTGGTGATGACCATGTAATACTGAGGGGCTCTCAAATCACTCCAAAATCCAGACCGCCTCCTAATACCTTTAACATCCTCTGAGCTACTTCAGCGCAGCACACAGCTCTATGAATTAGAAAGACATCTCTCTATACAGGTAACAATAATTAGAGTTACATCTTGACTTACTGTTAGTACGGACAAGTTGAGGTATTACGGACCTCAAATTTGTCTGGCTGAAGAAAAACATTATAATAGCCCTTGCTCATAAATCCTCACAGTGGCTAATCTCAGACGGAAGTTGTGGGGCTATTTGATGCCCATTAAATACAGGGGTTTTTTTCCGGATACCATAGGAATTACAAGGCCTCATGCAAACAGTGAAGTAGCACAGCTTCATAGATTATACAGATGTAAGGGAATACACTAATCATCTCATGAAGAACATAAAAGACATACACAGCAGTACCACAGACTTCAATCCCTCCTGCTAGAAGAGAGCCTCAACAGTAAGTTCACTGATATTGACCAATTATATTAGCATTATTTTCATTACTAAGTGAGGACTTCTAGTCTCCTACTGCTTCTTGAATATCTATTTTTTTTTATATTACCATCCAAATCCAATAACAAGACTATTTGAAAGACGGGCATGGGTTCTGTCTTAATTAAAAAAACCCAAAAAAACAAAAAACCAAAACAAAAACCAAACCACTAAAAAAACAAACCACAATAAAACAAAATAAAACTGCAAGGAAACTGAAAATGCTATAAGAGGACCCAGCATTTCACAGAATCAAACCTGTGGGATAGGAATAGCCGGTTTAGCCTGAAAAGTTAATCCATACAAAACGCATGCACTTCCTTTCTTGCTGTTATATCTTAAGAGGACTTCATAAGGTTATCACCATTTGCTCCCCCTGCCAAAGATAGCATATCTAGTATATGTACTTTTAAGCTAATTTAAAATAAACTCGGGCATTTGTTTCCACTTGCCCTTGTTTCCATGTCAACAGCACTTAATGAATGCATCATTCCAGGAAATGTCAATATGGAGCAAAGAAGAATGAACAAGCACTGCAAACTTCACACATGGCATACATCCTTCACAATCATATCGCTTTAATGAAAACAGGTGAGGTCACCTGCAGCATTAGCAAATGCTTTGTAATACATTCTGACCCAGATGATTTTTCACAGTTCAGTAACACCACGTTTGAAGTTTTCGCTGCAAACAATACACCCACAGGACTGACCAAGTGCGGGTACAAGAGAAGCAACCAGCAATTACTGTGTTGACTTCTGTTACTTTGATCTCCGGGTCATGACCTTTGCTTTCACACAATCTTCAAAGTAGAGATTGTAGAATAGGTTATTTTAGAGGACGCGTTGTTTTGTAGGCTATTTTTCTGAGTTTCTTCCTTCCTGTTTGAGCCAAAAGCCTTTAAAACTTTCCTATCACCGTTATATTTTAGATATTCTGCTTTCCTTTGCCCTCACCCCCAAGATATCCCTTTACAAAATATCACCTCCCAAATACAGAAAGCTTAAATAAATAAGATTAAAAAATAAGAACTTATGGCATTTTTTGGGGTGTTTGGGGGTTTTGGTGGTTTTGGTTTGGGGTTTGTTTGGTGGTTTATTTTGGGTTTTTTTCAGAAGAAATGAAAGCCGCTTTACAATGATGGAAAAAGCCATGAGTTTTTAAAATGAACCAAACAAGTTTGCTTATAAAAATACCGCAGAAGGCAACTTTCAATTTTCTTTTCCTTCCCAAGCAAAAATTCCAGTAACAAACATAGAAATGTTTTCAACAATTTGTTCTCCTACACATTTGAAAGGTAAGGAGGAATAACAGGGGTGGAGAAAAAAAATAGGGGTGGTTTTTTTTTCTTTTTTCTAAAAAAAAATCCCACTCAAATGTTACTATGTTTCTTAGAAAAAAATAACTACTTTGAGAAAAGGTCACAATGTTTTTGTATAAAACCTACTTCTAATTAAAAACTAGGGAAAAGTTTTAGTATTGAAATGGATAGAAATGGTATACAAATGGATTACCTGAGGAACCAGACCATAACTTCTTGACAAAAAGCATAGCTTTATACATTTTCCAAGTATTTATGATAAAAACTAATTATTTTTAAAAGATGTAATATTACTTTATATCTCTGTTAGTAATATCACAATAAATCACTAGACCTTGAGTTTTTAAAAATTTGATTTTTTGCATGTTTAATGTTGAGATTTTTGGGGTTTTAAAGATCTTTTCAGTTTGTTGGAATGAGAAGATTAAGTAAAGCTTTGATTTCTAGCACCTTTCTCTTTCTGGTTAAGGAATTAAATAGCCTGAACTCTAATTGAACTCAGTAGGAACAAAATTAAAGCTCAATGAAAAATGAAGCTGTGGTTCCAACGGTCACTGCAAAAATTTACAAAAATAAGTTCCTATTCAGAACAAAACAAAACCATTTAAAGCTTATGGTAAAGCAAAATATTTATATGATTCTGGTTCACTGAAATGCAATCTTTTGATGATTTCTGTGTGACAAATTTTCTCAAAAAAAACCTTGTGACAAAAAAGTTACTCCAAACGATTAAAAAAAATGCTGAAATGGCCCATTTCAAATGTTTGCTTTTGAGATTTGAAGCAATACATTTGATAAAATACAAATACTTTCTCACTCAGGAGAGTCTGCTGCTGTTAAATCTGTGAGATAAATCCGTACACTTGGGGAAGGAAGAAAAAAGTTGTGTCCAAGATACTTCAGAACGTGTATTCAAAACTCTGAATTAGCTATTCAGAGTAAAAATAGCAGAGCACTTTTAATCGGTTCCACCATGTATTCCCCTAAAGATAGAGGGATAAGTAGGTAGATAGATAGATGGATGCTTTTGAGCATTTTTGAGTTTAATGTAGTCTGGCAAACACATTTCATGTAACGTAACAAATAATTATGGACAAGGATCAGGAAGCTTTCATTATAGCAGCAGAACCATTAATCATTCAACTAATTAGAAGTCCATTTTTCTTTCTTAAAAGAACTTTAATTAACCTAGTTTATATGGGAATAAATACCAAGGTTTTTAAAAAATTGAGGGGAAAGAAAATGGACGCAATGGTGCAGTTGCCAGCAGATGCATAAATACAATCACTTCACACTTTGACATGGTGGTTTGCCACGATGTGACCTAAAACTACCTTGACCTCCCTGAAATCAACATTTTTGCATTGAAATGAAACAACAGACATGCTTGTTTTGATGTATGGCTGTGTGACATATTATAAATATTACATCACATAACGACAGATGATGTCAATCAATAAAGAATTTTTTCAGACAGCACTAAATGAACCATGGGTTCTTGCCTCTGAATGGCTCCTTTAACGTACTACTTTTGCTTAAATGATTAATAGGAGACATATTGTCAGAAAACATACTTAAAGTGAAAAACAGTAAACTGTAGAAATATCATTCATTTTTCAGGCAATTCTCTAGTGCAAATGTCACATAAATTTACATAGAAACAGCACTATTAGACTCTCGTAAGCTGGATAGTAGGCATACCTTCCACTTAAGTGTGAAAGCAATGGGAAAATACTTTATTATAAAGTCTAGGCTGTTCTATTTGGTGAAAACCAAAAAGCTACAGCTGAGTTGAATTCAAATGTTGAAAGTATTTAGGCTAAAGATAACCTAGAAATCCTTCTCCAAATGTTGGAACAAATGTTTCAACCTACAGCATTTACAAGCAATGAACTAGTGCATCGAATTCATGCCACTTCCCAATAAACCTGCTTTTAGTCTCCGCCACATACTAACTCCTACAGGAGAGTTTGGATTACCTGATGATAAAATCAGAGTTTTATTATATACCTCTGAATACTGCGGGTTACCTGCTAATAAAAAGTAAGCTCAGGCTCCGCAAGGTTGGCAGCACAGTGACCAGTGCCGCTTGGCTCCGACTTGCCTCAGCCAGCCATTTTCAGCTGATATGAAAAATGCCAGCACACAAAGACTGAAGTCTTGCATCAGATGTGAGCAAGCAAAAAGAAATCAAATTACTTTTTTTTTTTTTTTAATAATCAATGTCTCACTTGTCTAAAGGTTATAGCTGTTGAAAATTCTGTCACTTCAGCAGACAATCCGTAAGTTTTGGATCTATAAACACAGTCATCATCAGCCACGGGCATCTTTATTTTTAAAAAAATAACCCTTGTAATTTTTAGCAACATTTCAGTTGGATCAGTTAGGCATATAGCATTTTATCAGTCTTCCATATCAATTTTCAGATGACTTTTTGTGTAATCTAGTTCATTAAAATTACATTATAGAGATTGTTTGGGTTTTTTTTAATTTGAAACTGAACACTAGCTGCTCTAAGTAAAGCAGCACAATACAGGAGTCCTGTCTTCTGGGTTCTTTAATAGCACCTTGATTACTATAGTAGAAGAAACTCATCACCATAATTGAATGTTAGCAGAAAACAATGCAACTGTCTATCTTAGTGATTTTTTTTTATTATTATTGACTGTCACCTTTAGTGTATGTAAATGTTGTCTTACCTTGCGAATGTTAGCAGAAAACAATGCAACTATCTTAGTGATTTTTTTTTTTTATTATTGACTGACACCTTTAGTGTATGTAAATGTTGTCTTACCTTGGCCTTAAAGAAGGAAGGGCCATAAGTAGGCACACATGAGCACCTGCACTCAGGAAATCCTGTGCACCCCTGCTCAACTCAAACATGTGCTGTATAGCACTGAAATATTTCTTGAAATAGGGTTCCTGAGAGTGATGCTGCTGAAATGTGGTAACTCAAATTCTCAGGTGTTTCATGGAAGAATATGCCACAATGATTTCAGAATAAGGTTGATATTTGTTTGAGACTGTGAGTTGGTTTTAGTTTAATATTTTTCCCATAATAAAACAAAACTAGACATACTTTATCATATCTACAAGTGAAAACACTGACCTGTACCTCTGGTAGTCATCTTCATCCTTTTCTTTGCAGACCAGTTCATTTGGGCAGGCCATGTTTCCAAGCAAACTGAGATACTGTAGTGAGGGTACAACTTCAGCCAAATGGTCCAAAAGGCTTTCTAGTTCTGTTATGTGTCAGAGGTTTTGGGTTAAGGATTCAACGACATTAATGAAAGAAGCATTTAGTTGCATTACTGCAGATTTAAACATACATTTCAAAAACTGACGATCAAATTTAGTAGGGCATTCAGGGAAACGTCACATTAATTGTTCCAAGGGCAAACAGGGATAAACGTCAGTCAGTTTTTTGGCATGGAATGAAAGAATTTGGCTGTTTTGTCATTCTTTTCTCCTCCTTTCTTTCCTAGGTGGTTCACTACAAAACATTAAAACTTTGACAAAATGATGGATGCTTGTGTGGTAAAATGGCTAGCAATTGCTGGAGCCATGAAACTTTTCCAGCATGGAAACAAACAGTGAGTTTCACAGCACATTCATCACTAATATATTCAGTCCACTGCAAAATGAGTTCAAAAAAAAAAAAAAAAAAAAAAAGGGGGGCAAGCTAACAAGGAAGAGGTTGTGCCCCAAAAAAAGGAGGTCTAAGCGAAAAAAAAAAAAAAAAAAAAAAAAAATT